CTCTACACCTTGTTATCTAAGGTTCAGTCCCGGCTGTGTGTTAATAATTAGAACAGAATCTTACATTGTAGAAAGGGGCCATTTCGCTTGGTGTGCCTAGGATCTGCCCAATTAGTCCCACTCACAAAAAACCCAACAAACTTTGCAGCATTTTTTTATTCCCTTACATTTTAAATCTAACACCCTTTTGAATGAAATCTGCTTCCACAATCCTTCCAGGCAATGCATTCTGGTTCACAACAATATACTGCAAAATGTTTCCTCTCCTCTTTCCTCTGGTTCTTTTCCCACGTATCAGAATCCATGTGTTCCAGTTACTGCTTCTGCTGCCAGTAGAAATAGTCCTTTGTCAAAACTTCAAGTAATTTTGAACACTCAATCAAACCTCCCCTTAATCTTCTGTGCTCTGAAGAAACAATTCCGCCTTCTCCAATCCCCCCCCCGCATCATCAAAATCGCAGATTGCTGATTTGGAGTAAATCTCATCTGCACCCTCATCAAAGCGTTTTCATGTCTGTTGCCAACATTAAAACCCAAGCTTTATTCCATGGGTAATGATCTCAGCAGAGAGGCTGGTAACCTCCTCCAAATGACACTTTGGCTCAGAATGTTACAGAACTGTACTTGGGTCTCTGATCCTTGTTGGTATCTGGTGGAACTTGTCTGTAAATTTCCTGAACGATGACCACAGCCAGCAGAGTTGCTGCCTACGTTCAGTGCAGAAAAATGGCCTTTTTGATGGTTAGAAAAAATCTGGTATCTCTGGTACCAGTGCTAAGGAGGAAGGAAAATTGGGTTGGATGCAAAGGATGTGCAACACCAGAGGGGAATTTCACTGGGCAGGTCTGTCTCATACCTCAGCAACAGATGATTAATGTCAACAAGAAGCCTGAATTTATTTCCAACCAATACTCCCTCCGGGAATCGCTGAGATGCATAAGAAGATTACTGTGAGCCGCTGATTCTCTGATACATGTAATTCCCAAGTACTGTTAAATTTCCTTCAGGCTGGGATTAATGTTATTTGTGTCTGGTGAAGTGTGGAAATTGGGCTGAAGGAGTAAAATAGATTTGATTCGAAAAAAAACTAAAATTTGCAGGAGCGCATTGTTAGATTGTGGGACCTGCTGCCATGTGGAGTGGTTTAAGAGAGAAACAAACAGAAAGATTGCAAGTAGGGTTTGAAGTGATAATTAAAGAACAAGGAGGAAGCTTGTGTGGAGTATAAGTATCAGCGTAGACCCATGTGGCCAAATAGTCTGTTTCTGTGCTGTAAACTCGATACAAAACAAAGCACATCGAATTCAGGGTGACTTTAAGGTTACGTTATCCCAGTGTTTCAAGCTAGGCCAAGATGTTAGTCTGGAAGCACAGTGTTTCCATTCCACCAGTGTTATGTTTTACTATGAAAGATGTGAGTGTGAGTTACTTTCTGACTAAGCACAATTACAGAACACATTGGCTATAAGGAATCAGTTTGTTTCCCTACTTTTCATCAGTGGTTTGACCAGGAGTGAATTGTGCTCCCCTTTGTCACAGACTCAGAGCAGTTTTGTCAGTGCGGGAGGAACCTGCACTTACAACTTTAATAAACAGACACACAAATGGTGTCAATTGTCTGTCTGGGTGAAAACAACATGTTTCCTATTTGATGAAGCTGGTGTCTGCTCTGACCCAGCACCAGTCACAACTTCATGTGGACACATTCCAAAAGTGCACTGTTGTTACCTGGAATTCCTATGACATCAAATGTAAAGGAACTGTGTACAAATAAAGCACATGAAGCTCCAACAGGAGGGAGCGAGGTCTGAGAGGGTCGTTACCACACCCCTCATCTGTTGGACTCTATTCACAGCCGTACCATTTTAAGCTGAACCCATTTACATGTGCATGGACTGATTCCAGTGACCACACTGCAGTGTGTAGCGTGCGTGCATGTGGTGTCAATAGACACGGCCTTTAATTCACTCTGTTGTGGGGCAGAAAAACTTGCACAAAAGCACCTGTAAATGTGGGCGTTCACAACAGCTCGGGGATACTCTTGGGTCGTCTGCACACAGTGACTCATACTCACGAGGTGATACACAGGACACCACGTCCCTGTTCCCTGACAGCCGCACACTGCAGGAAGGTTTCATTATGGATGTGGGTGGTAAATAACAAGTGGATCAGCTGGCCATCGATCTGTAAATAGAGAGGGGAAAAAAAAAATCAGACAGCCCCAATCCACAATGAGCAGCTACTGTTCACGCGCAAAGTAAATGTCACCCCATTCCCCCCGACCCCTTCAATGTCCCTTTCTGCTTTTACTAAGTCTAACATCCCTCCGTGTTTAATTCAATCTACGAGCAGGATGAAAAATACTGGGCACGGCGCAGGAAAAACAACATGGCAGCCAAGCGGTCACGGGACGCTCGCCGACTTAAGGAGAACCAGATTGCCATTCGCGCAGCGTTCCTGGAGAAAGAAAACTTGGCTCTGCGCCAGGAAGTCGCTGACCTTCGGAAGGAGCTGAGCCGCTGCAAGAACCTCCTGTCAAAGTACGATGCCTGAAGTGAGCTGCTGTTAGCGCTGGCACTGAACAGTTGCAAGATAGACGAGTGCTCTCTTCTTTCTAGATGGCACTCCCCGAAACCCCCCACCCCCACCCCCGTCATTCTGTGCCTCTCCCTCCCCTCCCCACCCAGCAGCCCACACACACTGAATATTGGAAGAGAGACAAATGAACTTGAAGCATTTGATTCCACACGAGCAAAGCCCTGCCTCATTTTTTTCGAAAGGGGCTGCGTATTTTTACCCGGAAAAAAAAAATTGTAGTAAGTTGTTTTTGACTGCTGATCCACTACCCCCTTGACTTCCTCTGGAATCCAACATACTTTCCTTCCCTTCCACCCCATGTAGAAATGGTTTATCAAATAATGTATTGCTTGTATTAAAAAGAACTGTTGTCAGATATCATTCAGTTTATCAATCACCGGAATGCAATTAACCAGCCCCTGACTTTGGGATCTGTGGGCATCTCACCTGTTTCCGAAACCTGGAATGAAGTCTCCAGAAATTCATTCCCAACCCTTCTCCCTGCCTCCAAAACAATGCATCCTCAGAGATGATTATATATAATTTAAATTTTTTCTTAATTGTATTTCCATTCTCTGTGACGTATTTCTAATGTGCTTCTTAGAGTGAAACAGCAATTTTTCATCCTTGATGGCCCCCACCCTTTCAAATGCATGCTTGTTTATAAAAGCTGAATAACTTCCTGCATTTTTATATCCTTCTCTCGACACAGCTTTGTGTTCTAGTCTCCCTCAGTGTAGGGCATGGTGTGTTGGGTTTGGCTTTTTAGTCTTTCTAACTGAAAGCAATAATTGTAATTAATGTCAGTTAAGCCAAGTAGTGTGTGCAAACAGTGGGCCCCAGCCGTATCTCCAGACTAGGGTTACAGCCTGAGGCACAAGCTTACCCTGAAGACTGTCTCCTAAGAATGTAAAAGAGGACTTCTTTCTCCCCAGCTAAGATCATACAAGATAAAGTTGAACCCTCCAATGATTTGGTTATTCATTGTCACTTGCTATATTACGAAGAGTCTCCAAGGCTGAACACCCTACTGACAATCCACTGTGTGTAAGATCAGATCTGGGAGGATGATTAATTGAGTGAGGTTAGCCTACCCTGAGAACCTCAGGGTCTACAGTGAAGAATCAGCACCAACTGAAGGGTCAAAAAGATCTCTTTATCTTTTTTTTATATACATATAAACAATTGAGGTTTTGAAGGCCATTTGGTATGTGGATATTTTCTGATGAATGTAGTGATGGTCGGTGCAGAATTACCAGAAACAATGGGGTTGCCATGTAAGGTGGTTAATCTCCATTTGTACCTATATTCTGGCCACCAAAAGAAGAGATATTCTATATGATGTTAACGTTTATAGAGAGAATTATAAAGGTCCTTTTTTTGTACAGTATTTTTGAATGGAATACTGACAAGTGTATTTTAAGAAATAAAATTATATTATATAGAGTATATATTATAAAGAGACGTATAGATGACAGGACAGTATATTTCACATTTCAATGGATTGAGAGAGACAGGCTTTGAAATGAATGTTTAGATATTTGGGCAGGTGCTTATATTTTTAAAAGTCAGAGCTGCTGTTAATTATTTTCTTGACAGAGAAGTATTTTTAAAGAGCAGTTCCTCTTCAGCATGGGCCCACAGCACAGTATTGATCTCTAACAGAGTCTACATGATAGCTGGTATGAGTATCGGATTCATGTCATGCCAACACAGTAAGGAAGCTTTTCTGAGATCGGGTCAGTGTATCTAACTCTGGCTGTTTGGGACAGTGTAGAGGGAGCTTTACGCTGTATATAACCTATGCAGTATCAGCCCTGAGGAAATGCTTGTAAACAACGTAGTGGGAGAAGTAACGTGTCCCATTCCTGGACATCACTTGCCTTTATTCGTGTAGCAGCAATATTAATTGCAGTCTTGCACCATTGTTTGACTCCATAAGAATTAATTTTGACAGTTAGGTCTTGACTTGTGCTCAAGTATTTAACTGAGAGTCTCGATAGAATTATGCCATGACATATTGGCCTCATTATCTCCAAAACGGTAGGGTACAGACTTGCCCTGGACACCTGCACCTAAACACAGATGATGAATTCTGAAATAAAAACTATGATGGGGATTTACAACAGGTCAGTTTTAAAAGTGAAGCTTTTGGGTGTAAGTCATGATTAGAAATAACAGTCAAACTGGGGAAGACCTTTGGTAGGATTGAACAACAACTTCAGCAAAGGGTGAACTCGCGTTTACCTATGCTCACTGTACTTGGAAAGAGGCAGATTGATATGATTGGGAGGTCCAAAAACTCTAATGTGTGCTTTCTCTTTCAGATGATGATCAGCCTATGCAGCATTTCCAGCAATTTCTGTTTTCATTGCACAATATTAAATGAGGCTGAGAGTTTTGGATTCAACCTCCCTGATTAAGTGGGGAAATTTACTTAACCGGAAATAAAAACTTATTTGTTTTCAATAAAGAGTTTTGTTTTTGGCCTCAAAGAAATTTGTGACTTCCACACTCCTTGTACCCTGGAGAGTCTTTTCATAGTTTTGCACAGAATTGTCATTGTCTCACAGAAAATAACTTGTCTTACATGAGGAATGAGGTTTAACAATACTACCTCAATTATTGGAGAAAGATTGGGGAGGAGACAGAAGTAGATTCCAGTCAGTGCATTCTTAATATAAAATAGAATTTGTATATTTAAGAGATGAGATATTGTGGATGCTGAGAAAAGAAATAAATACAGAAAATACTGGAAATGCACACAGGCCCATCAGCGTTCGGATACAATTCCACAAAGGGTCTCCAGCTGCCTTCTCTTTGTAACAGATGACTGAGCTGCTGTGTTTAACATTTTTTTTTATTGTGTATTTAGTAATCTGTCACAATAAATGAGCACGTATGTGAGAGGCTTTTAGAGAGTCTCCAATCTAAATGTGAAGGCTGTCTAGTCCTTTGGCTTCAGGCTTACTAATTTTTAATAATTTTACAAATTAAATGTTTTATTTTATCGTGGAATGATTTTTTTTTTAAAAAATCAACCATTGTATTACTGGCAACACGGTGAGGTGATTCAGTTAAAGGCAAAGAAATATAATTTCTTTCAGTTGTTTCCAACTGGATTGATTTACTGTGCAGCCTGATTCCAGCTATCTGTATTTGTAAAAGTGTTCAATAAATTCTTTTGTTGGCTTCATTGTTGCTAGTTTGTTGATTTCCTCCTGATTGAAGTGCTGTTTACTTGCTGTGACCACTGAAATTATCCATCTCTTTTGCAGGATGTTTAGGATAGGAGCACTTTCTAATGATTTCCCTTGGCCAAAATGACAAATATTAGCATCATGAAATATTCCAAGGATTCAGTTTGAAGGTCTCCATGATGAAAAGAAATAATAACCACCTTAAAAATTCAACATGTGAGCACATCTCCTGTAGTGATGGTCATGCTTGTTACATGATATGCAGTCTTATAATAGCAGGATTGCAGCAATAGAAGAGAAACTATAACCTGGGACATCCCAAAGCACTATAGCCGGGGAAACATTCATGCAAGTCTTCACTGTTGTACTTAAGGAAACATGGCAACCAGTTTACACACAGCAAGATATCACCAAGAGCATTGAGAAATTGAGAAAATGATTAGATAAACAGGTTTACTAAGACTGGTTGCGGAATATATATAAATATTGGCCAGGTCATTGGTGAATTCTCCACTCAGATATTTTGCATTCACTTGAAAACTCAGTCAGGGTCTCAGTTTGACCTGCTACCTGAAAATAGCACCTCTGACAGTGCAGCATTCTGAACCGCTGCATTCCACATGCTGTAGGCTGACCAAAGTTGGTCGGGGTAGGGGGGGGAGGTGGTGGGAAAGCAGGGAAGTTCCAGGATTTTGACCCAGTGACAGTGAAGGAACGGCGATATATTTCCAAGTCAGGATGGTGAGTGGCTTGGAGGGGAACTTGCAGGGGGTGGTGTTCCCATGTACCTGCTGCCCTTGTCCTTCTTGGTGGAAGTGGTCGTGGGTTTGGAAGGTGCTGCCTGAGGATCTTTGGTGAATTTCTGCAGTGCATCTTGTAGATGGTACACACTGCTGCTACTGAGCGTCGGTGGTGAAGGGAGTGGATGCTTGTGGATGTGGTGCCAATCAAGAGGCTGCTTTGTCCTGGATGGTGTTGAGCTTCTCAAGTGTTGTTGGAGCTGCCCCCATCCAGGCAAGTGGGGAGTATTCCATCACACTTCTGACTTGTTCCTGGTAGATAGTGGACAGGCTTTGGGGAGTCAGGAGGTGGGGTTACTCGCTGCAGAATTCCTAGCCTCTGACCTGCCCATATATCCATTGTATTAATATGTTGACTCTAGTTGAATTTCTGGTCAATGGTAACCCCAAGGATGTTGATCATGGGGGATTCAGGGATGTTAACACTGTTGGATGTCAAGGGACAGTGATTAGATTGTCTCTTATCGGAGATGGCCATTGCCTGGCATTTGTGTGGTTCAAATGTTAGTTACCACTTGTCAGCCCAAGCCTGAATGAGATTGTTATCTGCCGAACCACAGTCGATCCTGGGAATCAGATGTGTCTCTTTGTGACTCTTTATTGTGCTAGCTGTGGGCCTGTCCCAAATATCCAGCATAAGAAGCCATCACAGCTTTCTCATGGTGAAATAATAGTCACAGTTTAAAATTGGGCAATCGCTAAACTCGATGCTGTAATCATAGTAGAGAAGGACTGTAGGGGGAGAATGGTGAGGTCCACTACGGAAACCACATTCCTCCAAGGACAGGTCTAGGGGCAGCAGCGACTCCTGGGAGTAGGACTGGTCTTTGAAGATGCTGAGTTTGTTGCTGGCAATACCAGTATGCTCCTGGATCCGACCGATCAGACCATACACTTTCATTTGGGAAAATACTACTTCTTGAAAATGACCTGGATGGGTTTTCATGTTGTTGAAGATTATGAGCCGGAGTTCTACAGAAATATACCTGCAAGGGTCAGAGAATCAATAAAAATACAAGTGCGTGATTAAACAAGGGAAAAAACGGTAGCGATTAAAGCAACTCCACAGAATCGCTGCGGTACCCACACCCATGATATTTATTTGATTTGACATTCCCATCCCCATTTAGCATTCAGTTAATCTCAGGTTCTTTAGTAAATAAGAAAGATCAGAATAGTTTGAAAAGAAGGAAATGAGGATTGCTCATTATCCAACACCCCTTGAACACAGGATGGTTATAGCACAGTAGACCATTCAGCCCATTGTATCTGTGCTAACTATTGCAATTCAATTCAGCTCATTTCCCTCTCTTTATAGAATCCCTATAGCGTGGAAGAAGGCCCTTTGGCCCAACAAGTCCACGCTGGCCCTCAGAGCATCCCACCCAGATCCACCTAATCTACACATCCCTGAACACTATGGGGTAATTTAGCATGACCAATCCACCCAGCCTGCACATCTTTGGACTGTGGGAGGAAACCTGCACTGACACGGGGAGAATGTCTGTGTGGAGTTTGCACAGTCACCCCAAGGATGGAATTGAACCCAGGTCCCTGGTGCTGTGAGGCAGTAGTGCTAACCACTGAGCCACCATGCCACCCCAGTAGTCCTACAAGTATGTTTTTCACATCAGGTACTTAACGAGTTCTCTTTTGAAAGCCGTGACTGAATCTGCTTCCACCACACTCCAGATCTGAATCGCCCACTGATTAAAACATTTCACCGTCATCATTGCTGTTTTGCTGGTCACCTAAAATTGGGGTCCCCTGGTTCTCCCCTGCTTCCTACCATGAGAAACACTTATTTCTGATACTGTCCCCTACTACCTTTACATCCCTGTTAATTCATTGCTGCTTAGTTGGCTTCTTGTACCAGAGTAAGTTTGTTCATCCAGCCTACAGCTATTGCTTTCATTTATATAATCACAAACCCTTTAGGAAAATTGATTCATAAATTTGAACAGCTTGATAAAATCTCCCCTTAGCCTTCACTTTTCCAAAAAAATATTCCTAGCTTTTCCAATCTATCCATGCCATCCCAGAAATATTTTTTCATAAATCTTACTTACGAACTCTCCAAAGCCTTCACATTCTTCCTAAAATGTTATGAATGTTTCATGCATTCAGACTGACCCGTTAGTTCTGTCTCTTTACTATTCTGATAACCTCTAGCCTTGTTTGCTGTGGTGCACTGTTACATTCACAGGTTCAGCCCTTTCCTGCCACGTTCTGATTATTTCCCTTATTGCTACCTTCCTGTCTTATTTTATCTTCTCTGTTCAGTATATCACATCCTCATGAACTTGATTCCAATGCCACTATTGTTTTGTATAAAACTCTCTCTATTGTCCTCATTAAATGACTCTCCAGAGCATTGGTCCCAGCGTACAGCTCCCATGTCTCCTAGTATGGGTGCAGTCCAACTTTATTGTGTCTGGATTAAATTTAATAATTAAATTAACACCTCTTCTCACTCACTTACTCACTTGAACCACAGTTACCTGATAAACCCTTCAACATAATAAAATAATCGTCACCTGCTTCTCTCATCCTTTCTGTCTCTTAATTAAAAGACAGGTTTTTAAAGGTTGTTTAAATATTTTATGTTTTTCTAAATTCTAGCACTTTACATATACTCTCCAACAAGTTACTCACAAAACAAGTTTTCAGTTTCCTATGATGCCTCTTCATTTTTTCAAATCTCCACTCCTCTGCCTCTCTCCCAGAAGATGAATGTTCTAGGCATCACTCCTCATACTCACTGTCTGCTTATCTCCCACCGGTCTGCCTCTCACTGTAGGCCTTGCACTACAAGCTATTTTTTTATACACTCTCATTTTGTTTCATCCACAGGTCCACCTTTCTCCCAGAAATTTTAGCCCATCAAGTAGCTCAACAATTTGTAAGTGTTATGACTTTTGCAGCATCTCCTTCTTTGGTCACTACAAAAGCAAAGTGCTCTTTTAGCACTTCCCCTCACCCCTTTCCTTGTTACAAACACATACAGACTGATACAAACAGGGCCTGTTTCCACACTGTAGGGATTCTATAAAAAAACAAGAAAAGAAGTAGAGGGAGATGAGCTGAATTGAATTGCAATAGTTAGCAAAGATACAATAGGCTGAATGGCCTGCTGTGCTATAACCATCCTGTGTTTGAGGGGTGTTGCATAGTGTTGGTAAAGAAAGTGCACTTGTAGTTGATAGCTGAAAGGAAAACAGAATAAAATTTCATGTTTTAAGATTCTTAAAGTAAGTCTAAGAACACAATGACTAAACACCATTTTCTTACAGAACTTAAACTTTAAAAAAGAACAAAACTTATACTTTCAACGCAACAGAAAAATCCACTTCATGGGCAAATTATAGACTGTGTTTTAAGTAATCTGTTGATTTTTTTCTGGATCCAGTCCAAAGTGATGCTTTGCTCTCAAAGATTTACTTCCATTCCTTTCTTGGCCTGGTAACTATCCCATAATTTTCTTTCACAGCAAAGATTTTACCTCTAGTGCAAACTAAGCAAATCCTCCAGCTTCACTTCAAATCCTCACAAAGGTTTTCAATATGAGCCCAAATACCTACCATCATATGGTAACCTATGGAAGCTTCCAGTCTGTAGCTGGTCCCTCTTGCCTGGATTCCGGCAAATTAACTGTTTATCTTAGAAATCTTCATCTCTCAAAGCCCAGCCCAATTGTAAAGTGAATCATCTAGGCCTGGTGTATAGAAATGCTGATTTACAAACCTTAAGATGGCACGGTGGCTCAGTGGTTAGCACTGCTGCCTCACATCACCAGGGACCTGGTTCAATTCCACCCTCAGGCGACTGTCTGTGTGGAGTTTGCACATTCTCCGCGTGGGTTTCCTCTGGGTGCTCTGGTTTCCTCCCACAGTCCAAAGATGTGCAGGTTAGGTGGATTGGCCATACTAAATTGCCCATAGTGTTCAGGGATGTGTAGATTAGGGGGGTGAATCTGGGTGGGATGCTCTGAGGATCAGTGTGGACTTGTTGGGCCGAAGGGCCTGTTTCCACACTGTAGGGATTCTGTGTGTTGAGACCCCAAATCTTTTTAACATTTGAAGTAAATGGACAGTGAAATGCACAGAGGCCTGTATCCATCGCCAAGCCACGCTTTATTTATGTGCGCACTGGACATTGGCTCTGACCAGCCAGCTCAGAGCCAATCTTTACACTGCAGAGGCTCTCCGAATCTCCAGTTTATATCTGTCAGCCAGGGCTCCCTGATTAGCCCAGGTAAGCAGCCTGAAACCTGGCCATGCTTCCAATCACTATATTAAGGTATAAATGTTAACAATCTGATATTCTCAATGCCCGCCTGAGACTTTGAAGATTCATAATCTAACCACAGAAAAACAGAGGCTGATGTCATTGTCTGCAGATGTGAACAGCTTACATCTTCTTTCCGGCAAACAACCTGGACCAATCTTCAACTTTTAACAGGCCTATCCACCGGGCAAGTTGTAGTGATCAGAACAGGTTACATGACCCCCTTCATTTTACCCTCAATTAAAGAGACAGTTTCAAGACACAGAAATCCTTTATAATACCCTCCTCTTCCTACCCGTTATATGGACATCAAAATCTTTGGATCTTTTCTCACAAAGTCTCTTTGACGCTCTTATTTCTGTTTTTATTTATTTTGTTTATTCAAATAGGTTCTCACTTGTATTGTCAATCTGACATCTGCTATTTGTATCCTCTCCATCTCACGTCATCCAGAGAAGGACCTTCAATTTTATGAAGAAGGGTCACTGGACCTGAAATGTTAACTCTGCCTTCTCTCCACAGATGCTGCCAAACCTGCCCAGTCTCTCCAGCAATGTCTGTTTTTGTTTCAGATCTCCAGCAATCTTTGTTTTATTTTATTTTCATTTACTTTTAGTTTTGTTTGCTGTACCTACACTTTCGTAACTCAACTGTACCCAACCATCTCCTCTTAAAACAGCTCCTTGCTCCATTAGAGTTTAACCTTCCATTATTTGCTTCAAATTTATCTGTGCCTGTTCTCACTCCACTGAAGTTTATCCTCACAGTGTTTATTTCCAGACAGCTAAGAACACAGCTCCAAGGACTGAAGCACTCTGTCAATGTATTTCTCATTACAGTAGTTCTTATCGCTAATATCTTGCCTGTAGGAGAATGAAGAAATAACATGTTGCGCTTTGTCAGTATCATGCATGTTCAATGATTATTGTATTTGTTTTTTTTTATTATTTGCTCTTGTCAGTTTCAGGCTTGCACAAGTAAGTAAATACCATCTACCTATTCCTGTAATTTCCCCAAATTGCTTTCCTTCCTCTTTGCTAGTGCGTGGGCTCAAACAGGAAGGAAACTGAGATCCTTTGATATTTCAAAGGATAATTGCACTGCTGAACTGTGCTACTGAATAAAACCATTCCAGCTTTGATCCCTGATCTGACATGTGTTACTGATCTCAGCCTGGAAACTGGCCATTACACTTGCTCTCATTTAATTTCCTATCAACATTTATTGCTCAGGCTCATACATTTGGACCAGCTTCTTCCACTCCCAAAGAACTACAAGTCTGTAAGATCATAAGAAACAGAAACAGGAGTGGGCCATTCGGCCCCTTGAGCCTGCTCTGTTATTCCGCAGTATCATAGCTGATCCATCATTTCTCATGTCCACTTTACTGCCCTTTCATAGAGTCATACAGTCATACAGCACAGAAACTCACCCTTTGGTCTAACTCATCCATGCTGACCAAGTTTCTGAAACTAAACTAGTCCCACTTGCCTGTGTAAGGCCCATATCCCTCTAAACCTTCCTATCCATATACCTGTCTGAATGTCTTTTAAATGTTGTAACTGTACCTGCGGAATTGTACACTTTCTCTGGCAGTTCATTCCACATATGAATCACGCCCTGTGTAAAAATGTTACCCCCCACCGCCTCCCTCAAGGTCCCTTTTAAATCTTGAACAAAAACAGAAGTTGCTGGAAAA